CGGAAGTTAGGCACCAGCGGTCAGGTCTGTTGAGAGTGAAAAGGACATGATGCGGGAAAAAAATATGTGCTTCTTAAATGGCGGCTCAGAAATCTAATACCTCACGTCTCGTCCTGTGCTTGACCAGATCAATAACATGGTGATTCACTCATACATCCAAAGTTAGTGGGATCTCGACTCTTCTGGCAGTCGGATGAGGCCAAGAAGAAATATCGCTTAGCTTGTTGGGATATATTATGCCGACTCAAGGATCAGGGAGGTCTCGGTATTGAGACCTGGAAATTAATAATAAATGCCTTATGAGCAAATAGCTATTTAGGCTTTCGGTAGAGAACGATGGTACGTGGGCACAAATTTTACGCAAGAAATATCTACAATCGAAAACGCTAGCACAAGTCACCACGAGGCTGGCAGATTCACCTTTCTGGAAGGGGCTTATGTGAATTAAAGACTTATTCTTTCATAGAACCAAATTTGTTGTTGGTAATGAAATGACCACACGATTTTAGGAGGACACATGGCTAGGGGAGGCGCCCTTAGCCATTCAATATCCAAATCTTTATAATATTGTCCAACGTAAGGAGAGTTATGTTGGCACGATATTACAATCGACCCCTTTGAATATTCATTTTAGGCGTTCTCTAGTCGGGGAGCGGTGGAATTCATGGATACATTTGGTACGGATATTGATGGATGTTCAATTATCCGACCAACCAGATTCATTACATTGGAGTTTGACTACGAATGGATTGTTCACGGTCAAATCCTTTTATCTATACTAGCACATATGCCCGTGCGTTGCAACGGGAGATAAATAATATGCATTTAAAGTCAGTGACAATTATAGTGCAAGCAAAATCTTATATGCACATGAAAAAAAGAACGTTTAGCTTCACAGTTTCGCCGCGCGTGAAAGAATTAATCTGTTATTTTTTCCATTCATTAATTGAGGGCATTTAAGAGTTTTGTTACGTCACCGTACATCAGATAAGGCACATGAGTTATTCAATCTACTTTTCCTTTCAATCCTGTCGATCGAGGGGATTTTAAGGTATGAAGTTTCTAAATATTCTAGGAGACATGAACAATTTTTTTAATACGGAACAGTTTTTTTTAATTATGTACACTTTTGAAAAAACACGAACAAAATATGAAAAGGAACATCTTTTTAAATTATCAAACATTTTCTGAAAATACCAACTTTTTTTATAAAAATATTAACAATATTTGACTTTGTGAACATTTTTAAAAACGGGAACATGTGTTGAAAATTCATAAGATTTTTAGAAAATGGATATCTTTATACAAAACATTATTTTTAATTGTGTAAATTTCACTAAAAAGGAATATTTTTCGAAGTTGGAGCATTTTTGAAATGCCATTTTAATTTAAGACATCTCGAACGATTTTTAAAAACAATATTTAAAAAAACGGGAATTTTTTTGCAGGTTCCGAATATTTTTCAAAATAGCAACCAAATTTCGGAGTTCTTAACATTTTCAGAAAATTGTTTTTCTTAAGTCTGAATTTTTTGAGAGTTTCTAATTTCAGAAATAAATTCTAAATGAAAAATAAACTTGGAAGGGAAGAAAGAGATATGGAAAGCAGAATAAACTAGGAGTAAAACACAGAAACAAAGAAAATGGGCCAACCCACTATTGGTTGTCCTGTGCGAAAATCCAACAAAAACATATTAACATTATTTGTATTTTTTAACATTTTTTAAAATTGGAACATGTGTTTCGTAAGATTTTTAGAAAATGTGTATCTTTTATACATGAAGATCATTTTTAGTTTTGACAATTTAAATAAAAATAATAATATTTTCTTAATTTGATGCATTTTTTGAAATGCCGGTTTCTTTTTAGACATCTCGAACAATTTTCAAAAGTATGTTTTTTTGAAAAAATGGAAAAAAATTTGCATCTTCTGAATATTTTACAAAATAGCAAGAAAATTTTGGAATTCTGAACATTTACAAAAAATTGTTTTTTAATTTTGAACGTTTTTTCAGAATTTTTAATTTACAAAATACATAATAAAATAAAAATAAAATAGGAATGGAAAAGCGAGATAGAAAAATAATAATAATAATAGAAGTAAAACACAGAAACAAAGAAAAATGGGCTAGCCCAATATTGGTTGTCCTGTGCAAAACTCGACCATTTGTTGCCTAGTGCGGGAAATAGTATTTTATCAGCTGCGTTGGCAGACAAATAAGTGGGCTGGCTTCGCCGGGCTAGAGTGCGCGGCCCACGTGCAGAAATTCTTTTCGGCATAAAAAATTAGTACCACCTCGGATAGCAAAAAAGTTCTTTTCGACGGCCCACGTACAGAAATTTTTTCATCCATTCATCGCCGAAAAGAACTTTTTTGTTATCTGTGTATAAGTGTACACCCAGAGGATAATACAATCGTGAGTTCTTCCTCACTTTTCTTTCCTTCACATGCAGTCACCGCTGTGCAAGCTCCTCTGCCTCGCCGCCAGCGTCGAGGCCGACGGTGGCATCGCTGGACGGCGGGGAGGTGCTGCAGGAGGCCCGGAGGTGGCCGACGGTGAGCTCCTTGTTGGAGCAGAAGCGATGAGGCGACCGACAGCGGAGCAGCGCTAGGAGTGAGAGGTCGCCGACGTGAAGGGCTTCAGCGGTGACACAACGGCGCGGTGGTG